AAATGATGTTAGAAATCCATAAGTACTATGGGCAAAGTTTCACACAAAAACAAGTTAGCAGTATCAATTCAAAATACAAAATATACGAGTACTATAGTAGTATATATTACAATTTCCTACTAAAGCAAGAAAACTGCGTGTATCATATCATTAATTAGTTATTCAATTAGTACTCCTGTATTTGGATTTTCGAATATTCACGAAATTGTAAAACTTTTGTCTAATATTGCTACAATTCGAAGCATCAACTTCTAAAGTATAATTATGTTAGGAATAGTTTGCCAACGTACAATACTGAACACACATTTGTTTTAATTCAAAAAGTTTGTGCTAAAATTACTCGAAAATTAGACTTTTCTATTGTACTTGTACTATACGAAGTTCCCAATTAGAATACATTTCAGAAATTAAAGCTACACTTTTATAATTTAATTATAGAAATATTTATTACTTTACTCAACAATTACTGTTGTTGATTTATTAGACATTGTAAATTATATTGCTTTCATTAGTTGAATTAGAAGATAAAAATTGTTATTAGATTCATCTTTTATGGTAGGCTTTTCAACGACGTTTTATGATATATATATATATATATATATATATATATATATATATATTAATGCCAAATCCACATACTTCAAAAATAGGATCAGTGGCAAAGAATGTATTAGGTTAATCATATGTTCAGAAAACATAGTTTTATACTGTTTGAGATTTTTAGAGTTTTTACAGAAATTAATTTATTCTTTTGCTAATACATTGCGTGCTTTTACCACATTTGAATTTTCGCATTTAAACATTCAAATTTTGTAAACTGAGCTCGTAACTATATCAGTAGGAGTTTTGGTTTTTAATATAATATTTATATTAGATAAAACAATATATCTCAACTACGGAAAAATAATGAAAAGTCTTTGGTGGGTCTCTGATGTGTCTAAAATAAGTCATAATACTTGTACTTGCAGAATTTTAATTATAATACTTAGATTAATTCAATAACTTCTAATTATTTAATATAATTTAATATTTAAATTAAAGTTAATATGTATGAAATATAATCTTTTCATGCGAATAATATTATTAATATAACAAGTACACTTGCACAATCTCTTACAGAATATTTCCATAAATACAATCTTTAATCTCTTTAATTGATCAAGTATTACACAAATTATTTACATAACATCAAATCAGATGCGAATATCAAATTCTAATAACTATTGAAATTATGAGATGAGTCGTCAAAAAGTTTATGCAACACGACATAAATTATATTTATATATACTTGTCCATTTCTATATACATCAGTGGGTCATAAAAGAATTTTGGATGGTAGTCGTCACCGTGTCCAAGGCCACATACCAAATACTGCGAGAACCACTTTTTCTACGAGCGTGATTAAGTGATGGTAAGAGCAAAAAATGATCCGTGAACCAGTTCTTTCACTACTTTCTACTTGTGCGCTTCACAAAAGAATTATTTATTATTCATGACGTTACATGATGACCTTCGCGATAGAATCACATTGAGAATTAAGATTCTCAACACTTTTGGATACTTACACGAATGTAATAGAAATTTGATATAGAGAATGAAAAAAATCATGTTTTGTAAAAATTGTCAATAGTTGTGGTAATAATTTTGCGTATTATTTGAAATTTTTATTATGTAAATCGCGTTTGGTATTTTCATAGTATTTTAACTAATCAGCATGTTTCCCCATCAATAGGAATCGAATGTTTTTTAAATAATTCAAATCGGATGGTCCGTATTCTCAAATACACACACATACATCCATTTTTCTATGGTATGCCAAAATGTTCAGAAACATTTGAAACATACAGATACGCAAAAATTTTCATTTTGTTTTTTGTAATTATTATATCTTACCCTACGAGAAATTAATTAAAAGAAATACTAGTGGTTCATGGCATCGTAGCTTAGGACAAATTGCTGGAACTCCCCGTACCAAAAACTATTTTTTTAGAAAAACTAAAAATATTTCAAAACTTTGAAAAAAGTAAACTTCAGAATTTTTGATAAAAAAATTATTTTTTGAAAAATAAGAGAAAAATAAGTCTATAAAATTAACGTTTTTCTAAAGCAATCGCACTGGAAGGCTGTTTTAGAGTCACAATATCGGATTCATACGAAACCTATAGAAATACATATAAAAATTTGTACTTATTATTATGATTGAAACTCTGAAAATGCTAGACCTACATATAAAATTTAGAAATAGAAATACATATAAAATTTCGCAAGTTGTTCATTTTGTCAATCCAAGTAAAATGTTTTTTGAATCATTCAAATCGGACGTTCGTTCAACTGAAATACCATTTTTGGCACTTTTTTCCCCGTTTGCTTATCAATATAAGGAGATGCTATGCTAAAAATCTAGTGTTTTTTAAATGATTTAAATCGGTTGATTCGTGTTCTTGATATTGCTGACGAAAAATGTTATCGCACATACATACATGCACACACATGCAAATACACACACAGACATAACCCTTTTTCTCTAAGGTATGCCAAAATGTTCAGAAATCTTTGTAATATAAAAAAAAATTCATTTTCGATTTTTTTGCGTTTGCTGTAATTTACCCTACGGAAAGTTAAAAATAAATTTATTTTACAATAATCCAATTTTAATTATTTTCGGATAAAATTATTTTAATTATTTTCATTTTATACTAATAGGTTAATAAAAAATCTATTTTGAGAATGTTTGATTTACTAATTGTGCGTTTATGTGTGTCATTTAAAAAAAACGAAGAAAAACAAATTGTTACTCGGATATTCCCAAGCACCATAATAACAAAAGATATTCTTAGTAATAAAATAGAGAAAAGATGAAGGCGGTGTGAGTTGTATTTAACGTAATCTCTGCAGTAATAATGCAATTAAATATATATAAATTGAACTTTTTATTAATCCATTGTAGCTAATGGAAAATGTATGCAGTGATTCCCAGATAAATAATGAATTTATATAAATAAATAAAAAAACAGTAAAGAATTTTTATCTGTGAAAATATATAAAAGGTGATAACGCAAAATATCACATTGCATTAAAATATAGAAATAACATTGAACTGAAAATCAATATTAATTTTATAGGTGTCTATTGGAATTGCATCAATTTTTGTTGTTTATCCTATTTTGTATATTTGTCTTTTTACTAGAATCATTTCCAAGATTTATCTGTGATACAAAGAATGATAAAAAGTCTGTCAATTCCAAAAATATTTTTTACCAAGAAGTACAGTTGCAAAAATAATTTATGCTTAATTCGCACTTCCAACCTTACAATTTTATCTCATACAGCTTTCTTGGTACCAAGATTATGCAAAATATGAGAGTCATCATTTATAATAAAAGTTATTGTTGCCGATCATGACATAATATTAGATTTATATAGAATTTTATATAATATGTATTATCAAAGACTTGCTATAATAAAATGAACATAAATTGAGTACATATACAAATAACGTTAAACATCTAGCGAAAACAAATTTGAAGGAATAATTTAAAACTCGGTAGAAAATTATTCACTGCAAAGTATTGTAAAACATGTTTTTTTTTCTACTTATAAAAATTATGAAAAGTTAGGCAAAGCGTTATGAATATATACTTTTTTATATTTTCTTGTTTTAAATATATTGATCATAGTGTTAAATTTTAAATTAATATTATTATGTTCAAGTATAAAATTATAATCGACTTCAACCAGAGCAATAGCACTTAATGATAGTAATGTGAATTATGAAATATTTTTTTTAGTATTTTATTTAGTATATTCTAGTAATTTAGTGTAAATTAAAAAAAATAAGGTCCAATGCGTCATGGTTTAAAAAAAACTCTAGACTTTTAGAGGAAAAAAACATAATAAATAAAAAATATGTACTATAGAGTTTCACAAATATAAAAAGAAGTGTATGTAATAATACAAAAGAGAGATTTGACCTAATTGAATACCTTGATAATAATAGAGATTTATATGTTTCGACTTGAAATAGAAAATTAGAACAATTTGGAGATTTGGAGTTTTTGGCGCCTACAGGCAATCGATAATAAAGCATCTCAAGGTATTTATAAATGAAACCGTCGATAGAATTGATTTATTGTTTGAATACTTTTTTATGGTTTTATCTTTAATACAACAAAATTAGGACTTTTTGTGGTACTGTGAATTTATTTATTCTTTAATTGACCAACTTGGAGTTTCATCAAAATCTGGCGGAATTCATCAGAATTGTTAAATGGTAAAATATTTCAGAATTCCATCATTAAAAATTTTCTAGTAAATAAATGAAAACCTCAAATGTCACCATTTTTACCAGTGCATTTCACTCACAATCAATTTAAATTTTTATTATATGGAAAAGCTTTAATGTGGAATAATACATTTGAAATGAATGTGTTATCTTCAGGTTTTTATTTTATTCTTCAGTATTTTCTTTACTCAAAATTTTCTAATTATCAAGTATTTTACCATATTACAAACCTGATGAAATCCTCATAACTTTTGATGAAACTTGCCACTCTTTAGTACTTTTTTTAAAACGCTTCTCAAAGTTGACCGATTTAAAAAATTTCAAGTTTATAATTCAATAAAATGTCTTAAAAATCGAAAATTTGGGAAAATTGTGTTATTTATTTCCGTGGTCGTAGAAATATCATTCACGGTTACGGTTCTAAAGTTTAAATAAACAAAGTTAATAAAAGTTAACCACAATACTCGAGAAATTGTCATAATTTAACCAAAGCTTTGAGTTACACTTGAAAGCTCATAATTTCCAAACAACGTGAAATAATTTTCTTTTTCAATTAGTAAAGACAGTTAAGGTCAAGGTCAAGACTATCGCCCGTTTTGGCTTGACGTTAAGTTCTGGGACATCTTGTACAATGGGTGTGATTTGGTACAAATAATTCTAAAAATTACATTTTTTTAAAAAAAACTTAATAAATTCCAACAAAAAAAGTTCTACTTACATTGCGTTCCTCGTATCCGGAATCTCCCGATTACTCGGTAATGAGTCACTCGCTTGCTGATTGAATCTATTCCGTTTATAAGGGTCTTCACCTACATGCAATGAACCTCCTTGGACATAATTCTTCTCGTCGAAATATCTCCACGATGAACCCATCGAGGACGGTTCGTCGTTCGTGAAGAAATTCGGCCCGGAAGCCGCCGGCATAATTGCTGCAACCGCGCTTTGTTGACTGCTCAGAGTCTGTTGCTGGGAATGGCTTTGAAGTTGCAAATGCTGGAATGACATTTGCTGACTGCCATCCTGAGGATATTGCACGAGGAGTAATTGTTGCTGCTGTTGTGTTGATGGACCTGCCAGTTCTTTGAGACGTAGTGCTCGGTTTTCTGTCTGTAAGAGATAATAATTAAAATTAAAATTTGGCAAAATAATTATAACATAGTTACCTTTAATCATTTTTTTCAACTCTGTTTTATTTAGCAATCAAAAAAACAGAAAGATTCCTATGAGCTAAATTGGCGATATTTAAGAGCGATGTCTAAGAAGAACTCCAATGAGATCTTCTTAATTTAACAATTAATATGATAATATTATATTAGAGCTAATCTAAGACTAAATCTAAAAGCCAGTGCCGTTTCAATCTCCTTATGCCAAAAGGTTGATTTTGTCATGTACCACGGAGAATTAGGCATTGTACGTAGAATTTTTGACTGTGACTTCTGCATTATATATTCGATTTATAAGCACAGCCCCAGAGCTCAATTCCGCAGGTCCAGATTGGTTTGATGATTGCTTTATATAGCAGTAATTTATTTTCAACGGAGAGCTTAGACTCTTTTTTACTTGAATGGTGTTAAAATTTAAAAAAAGACAGATGTTTACTATTTGAAACTTATATCATCCAAATGATAACGCTGTTATTTTTTGCATATAAAATCAAATATCACTGACATCTCTTCTCCTACTCTAGCTTTTTATTGATGCAGTTTTAGGTTCATAATCCATACTTCAAATGTAACTCTAACAACATATGTGGGAGAAAAGACTACCAGGTCTGTTAAATAACATCTCTTGCAGAAATCAATTTTTTGGGTAAAGCTCTTAAACAGCTAAATCAAGTCTTGTATTTGAATTACAATATTTCTTAAGAAATTAAATTTTTTCAGGCATACTAATTTACTTTTGCAAACTTACTAATTTACATAAAATGCAATACACATAGAGAAAGGTGTTTGAAATGACTTTAACTTTTATTCCTATTTGAATTATAATCTGTCTATTTCAGGAGGACATTTAATATTTATGTTGTTAAATTAACATACCCCTATTGCAAAGGAAAAATTTTTGTTGTTTTATTTTAGTTTTGATAATTTTTTAACATACTTAATTAGAATCGTTAACTAATGCGCTGAAAAGTTGATTTCATTTGCAATCACATTTCAGTTTATGATCAACAGAAAATCTAAAATCACTGCTGCTTGATATCAATCTAGACAACTCTGTATCGATCCCTTAACCAATAATTAATATACCCAAGTTTTTATTTCGACCAGCTGGATAACTTATATAGTTTAATAGGCTTTACACTACATGTAGTATGAGGTCGATCAGATCAATCCATAATATTGTTTCATAAGTTAATTTAAAACAACACAAATAAACTTGCAGTGAACAAATAAATATCGACAATAATAATCTATGAAAAACTTTTGTTACCAAAAAATGATATGAAATATCATTCATATATAATTCTAATGTAAATGCGTTTTACAAAGGAAATTAAATAGATTATCATTCTGTCTTTTTTCATACACTATTATTGAAATTAATTAGCTTGTTTTTAAAAATTGAATGAATAACTTCTATAAATATTTGTGACATACCAAGATATATATTTGAACAAAGAAAAACTAAATTTTTTTAAATTAATATTTAATCTTTGCGGTCAAGTTAAAAACAATTAGAATTTTTAGTAAATTATTACAATCAATCAATCAATCAACAATGGCAAGAAGCTTTTCGGCATAAATGATACTCTTTTTTTGACATTTTGAAGAGAAATATAAACTTATCAAACCATTAAACAAGTTTCTAAATTAATTAATTAAATCAATGGAAGGTTTGTTCTAAATATGCTAAAGTACAATTAATTAAAGATTAACATTTATAAATAAAACTAATTGAAATGCAGCTCACATGCAACTGCATTATTATATAAATAACCAATTAACATCGCACGTATAAAGTAAAATTAATTAATTTAATTAGTTAGTTATGCAATTAAATTTTGAGTTGCAAAATATATATGAAATGCTTCAAAGCCACGTGAAATAATTAAATTAACTTATTTTCTACAAAGTCGTTAACCCGCAATGCCCTATGCAGTTATTTACTTCAAGATCTAGCATTTAATCTCGGCTAGAAAGAACTTTAAATTCAAGTTCCTTTTGCATTTTAATCTGTGCCGTTATAAAAACTTTTTATATGCTTATGTTCAGCAATTTACTTGGCAAAACTCCTTTAATGTATGCAAGAGTTTTCATTCCCGCAATTTTTCCTCTCACTATTGAGGGAAAAAGAAAATCTCTATACGGGACTTAAATAAAGTTAAACTATTCTGAAACTCAGTTTATTAAGACAACAGAGGTTGAAGAGAAGAAGCATATACGCGATCCAAATAAAAACAGCAAATAATAGGATAAAGGGAATTGTAGTTGCGTACGAATTCGATTTACTTTCCTATGAACGTTCTAAACAAACTATACTCTCTAAGGGTAAGACTGCGAAGAAACTGTTATCAATTCCGGACAAATCTTGTTGAGTCTCTTCGCGTATTTGAGTTTTATTATTTCGATTGAATTACGTTGCAAGTTCATTGTTTGCTATGTGCTTGAAATATGTGGATTATAAATATACGCCAACAGATATCTTTGAAAACTACCTTAATTTTTGTATAGGGCTCCATGTGGCATAGTAGTTTGAGCTTTAACCATTTAACAGCCTGATATAAATCAATCAATATATATCTATGTAATAGGTCGGGCCATTAAGGTCCAATTTGAATTTAAGTAATAATACTATCTTGACCAAACGAACTCGATTATAACACGTATCAAACAAAGAACTATCGTACTATCCTCACTAAAATTCCTAGATAATTCCTGATTTTAATTTGAAATTTGTATTAAAATTTGTCATCTTATACTTTTACCCCATATAGGCAGGGTGAAATGGGGCTGAAAACTGATCTGATTGGGATTGGGAGAACAACCATGTTGGTGAAAAATTCATTACAAGATTTGTCCAAATAAATAAGAAAATATAAATATTATAAAAATAACGTATAAACCAATATCATAATAAATATGTATATCAAATTCATATATTAGAAAGCATTATTATGCATACCAAAATAATGGGAACTTCACATGCATAATAAAGTCTATATCAATTGTTTAATTTGATGATTATAGACTAAAGCCAAATCGGCAAAAGTTTTAGTTTTGGCACATTTTTAAACTATGATATGATAATAAAAATGTTTCTTACGAGTTTTTTTTGCATGAATCTCATTATAGTATTTATTTCGTTTGCGTAGACATATCACACAAGTCAAGCAACGAATAAAGTTTCGCGATACAATTAAAGGACCAAGAGAAAAACAAATTTATAATTCTAATTCCCAGAAAGTTCTTCAATTTCACGCGATTTGAGTCCATAGTGTTGAATGCTAAGAAGTTCGCGTTAGTCTCATTTCCAAACGATCAAGTCAAAAATATATATTTTCTCGCAGAAGAGTAATCTACGACTCCATTAGAGCATCAGAGTACGACTGCGAAGTTAATTTAACTCGCGACTGGCGGCGGTAAAAAGGAGGTTAAATGAATAATTACATAAGCCGCAGAAATAGACGTAATAGACGGCGGAGGAAATCCGATAAAAATTAGAGCAATTGGCAGGTGATACTAATTGCTCTAATGGTGCTGCCTCTAATAATAAGTCAATGTAATTTTTCTTATCTACTGCACATACTTTCTGCACTATCAAAGATGGCTACAGAAAATAGTACGGAAAAAATATTTAACATAAAATAAACGCGTCCAAAGATGTTTCCACCGAAATGAAAGTTGAGAACATTCAATTTCTAAAGACATTTTTTATTTCAATTTGTTTACAAAATATATTTCCATTCGTTCTCTATATTTGTTCGAGTATTATGCGATTTTATCTGCTTCCTTACACATGTATGTATTTTGATGAATAAGCCGATTTGGTACCTACTAGGAAGCAGAAAAAAAGTATCTAAGATCTTTGTGAAGTTTTGATGTTATATCTACTAGCAATTCCAATGGATAAAAATTCCAGTATTCTAGATGAAATATTACTTTTCAAAGGCCAGAAAACAAAATTGAAGAGGTGAATAACAATCGTAAAAACTGATTGTAATTCTAAATATTACAATATTTAATTTTTTGAATCTTAATTAATAATTAAGATCACAATTTCAAAAGGTGGATTTCGTTTTAATAGTCAATGCATCATTTTTTTTAAAATCATCATTAGAAAAATAGAGCCTATAAAATCATTTAATATGAATTACATTTCTCGCGTTATGAATGTCGCGTTATGAATCGCCTGATATCAATCATCAGAGATAGCCATTATACTTTAATTTTTATTTGGAACTTCTGATATATAAGCTGTTGTATTCGAACCTAACGATTAACATCTTTAAGATTTGATTATTTTAGTGTTAGAATTCATCTAGTATGGCTGATATAATATAGATACAACGATGCCTGGGAAGGGCTATTTTTACTTCCCAACATATTTTAGCTCTATATTTACAAGCGAAAATTGATATAGTGTTGTCCCATATCTGAGATCGTGACGCGGATTGAACTTTAAAATAGAGATCAAAATGTTTCCAAGTACAAATAGGCCTTACTCGCATTATTGCAATAAGTTAAAATGTCATCTTCATTAGAAAAAATGATAAAAATATATAAAATATAGATAAGCCATCCATTGGGTTGTAAAATCGACGTTCTGGAGTGAAGTATCAAGTTATTATATTACGACGTTAGCTCATAGTTTAATTCAAATTTCTGTTTAACGAATGAAAATAAGCCAGAATAAAGAAATAAAGATATTGACATTTAACACAAAAATTTTATCACCAGTAAAGTTACTATAATCGTTCTGCCATAAATATCTCAGGTTTAGGTAACTGATGATGTATCAAGTAGACAAGAATAAATGCAAAAAAAGTTTTTTTAATTTTTATTTCATTTACAACTGTCCAGTTAAGTACATTCAATAAATTTGGGGAATTTACAATTGTCAGCCGAGTATTAGACTAAGTTATATACTAAATGGGCATGTTGAAA